TATAAATGTCACAGATCTATAAAATTCAAAAATTTTAAGGTCACGATTCAAAAATTTTATAGGTCACAGTTCGTTCATCGGTCACAAATTAAAAATTTAAAAGTCACAATTTGTTCATCGATCACAAATCATAAATTTTATAAGTCAAATTATTTTATGGTTACAAATCAAAATTTTTATAGGTTACAAATTATTTTACGGTCACCATTCAAAAATTTTATAAGTCACAATTTGTTCATCGGTCACAAATAAAAAAATTTATTCGTCACAATTTATTTATCGGTCACAAATCACAAATATTATAAGTCACAACTTAGTAAATTGTCAAATTATCGGTCACAAATTAACAATTTTTTAGGTTATACATTATTTCTTGGTGTCAATTTATATTTTCATTGGTCACATATATTTACTGGTCACAGATTAACCAATTAAATAGTCACAGTTAAACCAAATAATTTGTGACCACAACCAATCTTTATGACACCACCTCACCACTGCCTAAGCAGCATAATCGTCGCCGCCACTGCCAAAACCACCTCACCGCACCGCCATTTGTGACCACAACCACCATCACAATATCATCACCGTTACTTAACCACCATAACTAGCACCACCTCACCACCAACAATATCTAAAACTGCCAACACCCTACAACCACCATCACCCCACAGTCATTTGTTGTCCTGTCTTTTGCCACCACCATTTTTAAACCACCCTAAAATCACCGCATATTTCCATGTCTTCCATCGATCGACTTACTACAACACCGCCGGCCACCATAATTTCATCATCACCTCTCCAAACCAAAAAACAAACTACCAATAGCCACAACCCATCGTCTCCTTCACTGCCATCTTTCCGATCTCTCACCTTTCACTACGATTCGCCAATCCGGAAACATCAACCCATACCAAGTGTCATCGACACAGCCTCAACCACAACCACCACCACATACGTAGTGGAAGAGATAGAGTCACACGACGTTCGATGGAGATCTCAGTTGTACAGCTCCGTTCGCATCGGAGAGTGACAGTCTAATGCGCAGCAGGGAAAAGAGAGATAGGGGGAAGGGTTTCGAATCTTCGCCGCCCATTTTCCCCATGGCCTTTTCTGTCTTCGACGGCGGCAGCTGTGCAAGGGAGAGAAGAGAGATGAGGGGAAGAGTTCGCGATGGGAGTCGATTCCGTGTCTCCAGAGAAGAGAGAAAGGCTGGGAAGAAAGAGAGAGGAGTGGAAGAAGATGATAAAATTAGGGTTTTAGGTTTGGGTTAAATGAAATAGATAAATTAATATCTGA